AAAATAGTCATCACATGAGTTAGCACATGGAGAAAAAATACAAAGGGTAGATATTAGGAACATAGTGGTTACCTGAGGAAGGTGTGACGGGAGCTTTCTCCTTCACGTGTTACATACTTTGTTTGTTTGTTTGTTTTGTTTTTCTTTCTTTTTCTTTTTTTTTACTTTTTTTTTAAAAGACGGGGTTTCACCATGTTGGCCAAGCTGGTCTTGAACTCCTGACCTCAGGTGATCCACCCGCCTCGGCCTTCCCAAAGTGCTGAGATTACAGGCGTGAGCCACTGCGCCCGGCTGTTTGTTTTTGAGACACTGTCTTGCTCTGTTGCCCAGGCTGGAGTACAGTGGTGCAATCACAGCTCATGGCAGCCTCAACCTCTTGGGCTCAAGCAATCCTCCCATCTCAGCCTCCGAAAGTGCTAGGATTATAGACATGAGCCACTGCACCTGCTCAATGTGTTACACAGTTCTATACCATTTAACTGTTTCTTTTTTTAAGATGGAGTTTCACTCCTGCCGCCCAGGCTAGAGTGCAATCTCATGATCTCAGTTCACCTCAACCTCTGCCTCCCGGTTCAAAGGATTCTTCTGCCTCGGCCTCCGGAAGTGTTGGGATTGCAGGCGTGAGCCACCACACCCGGCCAGAATTGTCTTAATCCCTCAGGTTTGCCTGGGGTGCCTGGGAAGAAGCCCTGCATGGGAAATCAGCAAACACGTGTTCCAGCCCAAGGCTGTGTGACCTTGGGGAGGTGAACGAGCCTTGCTGAGCCTGTGTTCTGCTCTGTCAAACAAACAGCAATGGTGCTGTGCTCATCAAGGCCCCCAGCCCCTGCAGTGCCACCCGCCGCGGTGCCTCTGGCTGTGAGTGCTGCGCTGAGGCTTCCATGGTGTTTTCTAACGCCACTGGGAACTCAGCCGGGCGCTGTGCCCATTCCTTAGCCGCCACGCCATGCTGTCATCTCAGCCTGAGCTTGGCGTCAACCAAACTCTCTGGATAGCTACGCCACAGACTGCTGTCAAGTCTGGTCATGCCCAGTGTGTGCTGGACAAGTCATATTTTTGTCTTCATTACCAAAATATTAAAAGTGCATCATAACTGATTTAGGAAAAAACAAACAAACAAACAAAAAAATAAAGGCTGGGCATGGTGGCTCATGCCTGTAATCCCAGCACTTTGGGAGGCCGAGGTAGGCAGATCACAAGGTCAGGCGTTCGAGACCAGCCTGGCCAACATGGTGAAACCCCGTCTCTATTAAAAATACAAAAATTAGCTGGGCATGATGGTGTGTGCCTGTAATCCCAGCTACTCGGGAGGCTGAGACAGGAGAATCACTTGAACCCGGGAGGCAGAGGTTACAGTGAGCCCAGATTGTAGCACAGCACTCCAGCCTGGGCAACCAGAGTGAGACTCTGTCTCAAAAAAAAAAAAAAAGAAAAAACGCAAATCATTTTGCCTAACGCTGCTACTGTTTGCTCTACCCTTGCTTTCCCCAGTGATTATGTTTACAACTCAGTGGTAAGCAGAGCTCAATCACGTTTTCTTCTTTTGCTCACTGCTACATCCTAAGCATCTTCCCTTGTTGCCTATTTTTGTTTGTTTGTTTTTGAGATAGAGTTTCACTCTGTTGCCCAGGCTGGAGTGCAGCGGCCCCATCTCGGCTGCAAACTCCGCCTCCCAGGTTCAAGTGATTTTCCTGCCTTAGCGTTCCCGGTAGCTGGGACTAAAGTTACCTGCCACTTCGCCCAGCTAATTTTTTTGCTGTTTTTTTTTTTAACAGAGACGGGGTTTCACCAGGTTGGCCAGGCTGATCTTGAACTCCTGACCTCAGGCAATCTGCCTGCCTCGGCCTCCTGAGTAGATGGAACTACATGTATGTCCCACCGTGCCTGTCTCATCCTTATCTATCTATCTATCTATTTATTTATTTTGAGATGGAGTTTCGCTCTGTCGCCCAGGCTGGAGTGCAGTGGCACCATCTTGGCTCACTGCAACCTCTGCCTACTGGTTTAAGTCATCTCCTGCCACAGCCTCCCGAACAGCTGGGACTACAGGCATGTGCCACCATGCCCAGCTAATTTTTGTATTTTTAGTGGAGATGAGGTTTCATCATGCTGGCTAGGCTGGTTTTGAACTCCTAACCTCAAGTGATTTGCCTGCCTCAGCCTCCCAAAGTGCTGGGATTACAGGT